AAAGCCTCACAATCATGGTGGGAGGAGGAGCAAGTCACATCCTACATGGATGGCAGCAGGCAGAGAGAGAGCTTATGCAGGGAAGCTCCTCCTTACAGAGCCATCAGATCGCATGAGACTTAGTCACTATCACGAGAACAGCATGGGAAAGGCCTGCCCCCATGATTCAATTACCTCCCACTGTGTCCTTCCCACAACACATGGGAATTCAAGATGAGATTTGGGTGGGGACACAGACAAACCACATCATCCCCATTTTACAGAGCAGCAAACCAAGGTACACAGTTCACACAGCCAGGACTTCAACAGGCAGTCTAATTGTAGAGCCTGCAAGCTTTTAAGCCCTTGCCTCTTAAGAAACAAGGCAACTTCTGGGGACAGTAAGTATTAAAGCTTTCTATCTGCCCAAGAAAGGTCCTGAAAAGCCAGTTCAAGTCTTAGACAACAAGAATGTATCCAGTTGTGCTCAGAGTTGAGCTGTGAGGTGATGTGGGAAGATGAAGGTCAGAATCCAATTCCCCCCTCTATATGGAGGCTGCCCCAAACACATCAATGTGCCTGCACCATGATGGAGGTAATGAGTCTGAGTTAGGACAGTTGAGTCTTGTTTCCCAAAGAAATCTTCTCATGACTGGAAGGCAGAGTTCTCTCTCTCTGAACTCTGGCATTTTTATAACATGAGCAAATGGAAGCTTCCAAATGTCAGCTGCAAATTTTCAATTCCTGTCTGAGAAGAAAGTTAAGGTTGTTCTCAAGAACAGGAAGAGATTTGGAGTAAAAGAAAATGCACTGAAACTGGATGAAGATGATCAATTATGTTACTTAACCAAGAGGCAGGGGCTTATCTCATGACTAGAAAGTGTCCTGGTCTCTGCAGAAATGATTCAGAATTAATGGGACTCTGAGTTTCTCAGCTGTGAGTGTGCTCAGTTTTGAAACTGCTGCTTTGTGATACGATTCAGCTGTTCAGGTTGAGATTGCAAGAGGATGAAAGTGCTTTTCAGACCTTACCAGAGCTGGGGAAGCAGAGCTCTCCATAGCCAGCCCTATAGATACTCCAAACCTAATTGCAAGCATGGGAGGTAAAGTGTTTTTTTTTTCTTAATGAACTTTTGTGATGCGGTTATAAAAGTAATACATTGCTTTTATTTTATTAGGAAGTAATAAGATGTCCAAATCTAACTTTGAGCACTTACAATATGTCAGGCAATGAGCTGAGGAATTCACTTCAATTACTTCATTTAATCCCCAAAACAACTCGATGAGGCAGGCATTATAACTATTACTACTGCCAATGTACACGCTAAGAAGCTGAGACTCAGAATGATTAAATACCTTGGTTCAAAGTCACCCAGTGGCAGAGCTGGGGAGCAGAAGTCAGTTTAACCCCTACACTGCATTATTATAATTCAAGGTGAAATGTATGAATCCTGCAAAGGACAAAAGAAGCGCTCTGGGGATTAGATGAGTTCTGGGGTGCAGACGGAGTTCAGGGAAGAGTTTTCCTTGGAGCAAAACTATTCTGAATGGCATCACTCTCTCCCCCAGCTACTGTCAAGCCTGCTCTTCTTCCCTGCAGTACTGTCTTGGTTAATGCCATGAGCGACACCCAGCACCAAATGACTACCCAGCTAAGACTGCGTGAGCTTTTACTCCTTCCTCTCCCTTACTGCCCCAGATCCAGCATCATCAAGTCTTGTCAGTCACAGCAACAGCTATCTCTCTCCTCCATCCCCTCCAATTCTTTTATTTACTAATTCAGATATGTACCGAGCACTCACCCTGTGCAAGTCTCTGCTAGGCAGGTGTGTAAGTGTCAAAGCAGAACAGAGGTCGCTTCTGGTCTCTTTGAGCTCTGTTCCTGCTTTTGTCCAGGCCTTTCTCTCTCCCCAGGATGGCTGAAATAGCTATCTTTGCTCATCTCCCATCTTCAGGCTGTCGCTCCTATAATCCATCCAGTCCCTGGCACTAGGGAGGGGCTCAATGAGTATAGAATGAATAAATGTGTAGATGAATGAACCTTCCATAGTGACCCCAGAATCTTTATGAAAGGTAATTCTAATTAAATTGTCACTCTTCTCAGAAGCTTTTAGAGGTGCCTAATTTCTCCAGCACAGTCTCCATTTCTTAGCCTGATGGTCAAGACTTTTCATAATTTGGATCAAGTCAGCCTAAACTGGATGTTCATCTAAGCCAAATTACTCACCCTTTCCTTATGTATGTCATACATTTTTTTTGCCCCCACCTACTGGCAGACAGTGCTCACCAAAGCCCACCCTGTGCTTGTTGCATTTTCCAGCCTCCCTTCCAGGCCAGGTGAAGGCTGAGTGACGGATTCTGGCCAGTGGACTCCCCCGACATGATGCAGGACTCCCAAAACCTCAGACATTGCATAAGCAAAGGGTGAAGCCACCAAGATATTCCAAGTCTATACGTCACCACAGCAGGGCCTTACCCTCTCCTGACTAATCCACACATCCTTGCTTCTGCCTAGAGAGATTTTCCTCTCTTCCTGGCCAGTTGATTTCAAGTTTCAACTGCAACATAACCTTGCCGGGGAGGCCCTCCTTGACCAGGATTCAGTCACTGCCACCTCTCTCTACTCTCAGGGCTCTGTTATTGCCTCCATTTGCACTCAGAGTGCAGGCCACCTGGTAGGTTGCACAAGGGTTTGTCTGCCACACTACACTGTGAGGTCCCAGAGGGCAGGGACTGTGTCTGTTTAAAATTCTGTTTCTCCCACTAGACTGAGCCTTGTCCACTGTACTCAGAAATATTCAGGCTGTTACTAAAATGCATTAGGTCAGAGGGAAAACTGTTTACCCCCTGGCCTCAGTGTATGTAACTGGGAGATAGAGAAAAAAGCACGGCCTATCTCAACCTTGAGGCCACAGTGGTCGGTGGGGTATTAGCGGGGGTTTCAGGCGAGCAGGACGCTGTGGGAACGGGGGAGGAAGAGGGGGACATGGAAAAGGGTTCTGGAACCTGGTCACTGCTGTCCCCGCCCCACCCCCTAGGGAAACTAGGGGCCAGAGCTGGAGAAGAGCCTGAGTAGCTTCCAACTGTTTACCTTCTGGGTACCATGGCGACTGCAGACCGGTCGCCATGGCAACCTTAATATTAACCAGAGGCAACCACCGCTAGCAGATAGTGAATGAGGACAGTAAAGACATAGAAACGGGAGCATCAAAGGTAAGTGCACACGTAGTCACGGCCAAAGTCCCAGCTAAAGTGATTAAGATCCTGCACCCACGAGCCAGTCACCCCAAGAGCCACCGCTCCTCCCCTCTGGGCATCTGCACCGGAGGAGGCCCCCCTCTGTGGCTGAACGGACGCTGGAGAGGAAGTGCGGGTGTCTGGGCATTGGTGCGAAGCAGGGGGAGTTTATGTCCTTCCCCCTACCCCAAAGAACCCAAAGAAGCTCCCACCGGCTCAGTGAAATCCCATCTGAGTCCTCTGACCTGGCCGACTTTTCTACAACTGCGACTTTGGCGTAGAAGACCCAGTTGGTAGATAGCAGGCACGAGTGACCATCTCTCCTCTCCCGGCCCAACCACCCGCGTCCCCCATGACTTTTCACTTGGGGGTATGTGAACGCACGCTGTGCATTGGACCCCGTGCCCAGACAGCAATATTCTTGCTGGTTTTCATGAATGAATGTGTGTGTGTGTTGGGGGGAGGGGTTGCGGAGAGCGCTTAGAGAATGTTAGGGGCACGGAGCCGTCCACTCCGGGATGGAGTCCGAACCCGGGTGGGGGCCATTCCCGCCGACCCAGCCTCGCCACTTTGGAAGATGTGATGGGGAGCATCTGCCGTCGGGGTGCCGGGCTTCGCTGCAGGAGACTGCGCTCGCCAGCTTCCGGCGAGGCCTGAGACGGCGGACTGCGTGTCCGAGGAACCCGGTTCAGGCCGAAGAGGCTGAGGCGCCGGCTCCGGGTCCTCTAGGTTCCAGCGCCATTCAATCTGCGCCACGCGCCGCGCCAGCCGGAGACGCCCGCTGCGGAGCGCCGAAGTTAAAGTCCCAGCGGCGGTGCTCAGTAGGGAGGTTACACCGGGAGAAAAATGAGTCACCCTGCCCGGGGTTGCGGGAGTGCGAGGGCCTGCGGGCCCAGCCCCCCAGGGGCATCGGGAGGGGCCAGAGGCATCGGGAAAAAAGCCCGAGGACTGGGAGCCCGGCGCCTTTATCCGGTTAGGGGATTGCGGAGGATCAGAGCGCCCGCCGCCCCTTCTCCTCCATCACCGAGCACTAAGTCCCGGGCGTCCGAGATCCCGGGTGTGATTTTGTCATTAAAAAAAAGTAACCGCGCACTCCTCAAAGAATTGTAATTCTCGCCTCCTCCTCAGCCCACCCTTCTCTTTGAATCCCCAAGGGTGAACAGTCCCCTGGGTTGCGGGGCAGTCCTTCGCCGCTGCCTTCCCCCGGCCCTGCTCCCTCCAGGCCACTGACTCAACCTCCCCCGGCGCGGTGCGGACTCGACGAGACACGACTTGGAGCCGGGGAGGGGTCCTTCCCGGACTGGCGGTCCTGGAGGCCCGGGGCGCGTCCTCCTGGGGCAGCGTGGCAGGAGGCGATGTATGGGGTGGGGTCGCGGCTGGAAGCCCTACCGGTCCCCAGCGGGAGCCAGCCCCGCTCCTTCTGCCTCTCGCCCCGACGGCTCGGCCCAGCGCGGCTGCGGGACGTGAGTAAAAGGGGGTGCGATCGGCTTGGGGAGCACGGGGAGGGCTTCCTGTCTTTTGAACTGGAATGGAGGGGTATGGGAGCGGGGGGGGGGGGGGGGCCGAGGCCACAGCCGGCCCTTTTTCACTTTCTCTCCAGCCTGCGGCCCGTTTCAGCACCGGGGGCTGCGGACAGCGCCGCGCCCGCCCCAGCTTGCAGCTGCCTCGCTCCCCAGCGTGTGGTCCACAGCGTTCTCTAATTCATCCTGTCTGGGGTCTGCGCCCCCAGCACACCTCCCGGCGCCCCCCAAAACTTCGAGCTCAAGAACCCCTAAAATCCTTACCCTGCCAAAGTTTGAGCTTCTCCGCGGCGCGCTGGGGTCTGCGGAGCGCCTCCTCCCTCCGCCTCCCGGGCGCAGCTCCGCTCGCTCCCTCCCCCGCGCTCCCGGCCCAGGACTCTGCACCGGGACTACTGAAGGAGCTTCTGGCCTCCCTCTCCGTGGGAAAGTCAGGTGAGGCTCTGGAGCCTCAAAGGCGGTCCGAAAGAGGCAGAAGTCAGCAGTTCACATCCCCAACACTCCCAGGGAAGACGGGGAGAGTCAGGGGCAAGAAAGCAAACAAGTCCGTCGTTCCATTCTGGGTTCTCTCCTAACTGCGGGCGGCCATCCTGGACTCCTTCCTGGGATGTTTTGCTGGTAGTGTAATCCACACTGGATGAGTGCGCAGCAGAGATCTGGGAGTCTGAAGTTTAAAGGTGGGACACACACACACACACACACACACACATTGTTGGACCCGTTTACCATCTTAAGGAAGATGTTTGAAACAAGACTGTTTGGGACAATGTGTATTCTCCTTGCAGAGTTTTTGTTTCCTTCCATCGCACCAGATAACACCAGATTTCCTGAACTAAAACCTACCAATCTAGCTAGTAATCATTACCCTCTATTGAAGCCAAAGGAACTTAAACTCTTTTTGAAGAAAATAACTTTATTTACTAAAACTTAATTTTTCTCCCAGAAGGTATACCTCCAAGAACACACCTCTCCATGAAGGATGAAGACAGAATCCTGCCTTTCCCTCACCAGCAACTGCACGCTCTGGTTCTGGATCGCAGCAGCAGGTCCCGGGAGGAATCCAAGCATCCTTGCCTGGGACAAGGCTTGGACAGCCTCTTGGCTTCTAGGTTCTCATGACTGATACCCTCATGGGAAGAAACTCCACAATAGCAGATCCCACCCAGCCAGTTAACCAGGGCTTCTCTGAGGACTTGGAGTTCATGGCATTTCCGAGCATACTTATCAAATCGCCTGCTAACTGAACACATTATCTTTAGATGGCTTGAAGTCCATCGAGTTCATGCAATACTTGAAGGGAGAGATGAGGTGTATATGTTCATTACTGAAAAAATAAAGAATTAGAATGGCTCGCACACACATGTGCATGTGTGCACACATGTCTTAAATGGGGGAAATAAAACCTAGAAAAAATTTCCCCCAAAGAAAATCAGGCTTAGTTGTTCAGATTCAAGGGACTCTGGTAGTGGAAGAGCAAATAAATGGAAGCAGTGAATCAACCAAAGGAAGCCGAAGCCACAAAAGCTGGAAGACAGGAGAATTCTTATTTCATTATTTGGGCTTCTGAAAGGAACCTGACATTAATTCAATGCAAGAGAAAATATAATAGATGAGACTTTGCCTCATTGAGGACTTCAGCATCCTTATTCCAGGAATCTCCACACGCCTCAGTTATTATGTGCATTTTTTTAATAGTTCTCGTTGTCAGGAAATGCTTTATTTCTTCTAATCTCATTAATTTATGCAACAAGTTAAAGCTGTTTCCTGCTGGCTTGTCCTCAGGGAAGACTGGAAGCAGATGATTATCTTCTGTTGTCCAGAAACATTTCAGAGCTTCAAAAGAATCTTAAATCCTGATTTTGGAGAACATAGTAGTGATCATGAGATCATTTTAAGGCATCATCCTGAAAAATCCCCTTGGACTTTGTTTCTGAAATGCACATCATTCCTAAGATTTGAAAGGGAAAACAAGAGCTCACAGAATTAATTAAGAAATGGAGAAGTGTCCTGAGTGTGATGAAATTAGATAGAGTGTTTAGCACAGAAATGGGCACATAGTTGGCCCTTAGGGAATGATGTATGTGGCAATAATTATCACTGAAGAACTTTGGGTGTCTGAAAAGTGGAAACAGATGAACGGAGACTGGAAACAAATAGAAGGAGACTGAAGGGGATGTATCTGTGAATTTGCCTGCAAAAGTCATCGGGCTCCAAGATCCTAGGCTGCCATGATGGAAGGTCCAGATTTGGCCCAAGGCTCACTCAGTGGAGTGGCCTCTAGGGACCTTTCTGATTATTGCTCAAGCTTCAACTGAGGCATGGTCGAGTGTGGAAGGGACAGCAAGGTTTTGTGAAGATGCAGGATACAGCAACATCTGAATAAATTAGTGGGATGCTCTAACAGGCCCATGGCACTAAGAGACCAACGAACATGAACCTCAGAAACCCAAAGTCTTTTGGTGTTTGGTGGAATAGGGAGACCAAAGGAAGAAGAGCGCTATGGAGAAGGCACCATCTCCTCTTTCTGACAGAGCAGGTGAGAGTGGGAGGAAGGGAGTGGGGACCAGGTGAATGCTAAGTTGCTTCAGCCTCAGCCAGGACACTAAGGAAGTGGGGAGGGGTCTGTGGGGAAAAGAGTAGCACCCAGGAGCTGAGGAAGTCTGGAGCCAGGGAGCCTGATGAGACCGATTGTATCCACCTGTGAATTCGGTGCCAGGAAATGAAAGGAAAATATGAGCCAGGCCCAGAAGGATTGAGTCTGAGCATACGTGTGTACATGTGTGGCTTGTGGGACTCCTCAATGACATTTAGTTTTAATTGTTTTTGAAATTTAGAAACAATGTGATGGTCTATATAGTCTCCTGGGATTTGCTTTTGTCAATCAATATTAAGTTAGTAAGATTCGGTGATGTTGCTTGTAGCTATAGTTCATTCAATTTTACTGTGTAAATAAACAATTTGTTATTTATTTATTCTGTATGCATCTTGTACACATTGGTTTAAAAATAAGGGTGGGAGGAACTAAATTTTTGATTCTAATTATGTAAAATCTTCCCAGTCCAAACAAATTTTAGGTGTACTAGGGACCGGATATTTTATAATCAGGGTTGAAAGGCACACAAATAGTGCCCATAGGTAGGCAACAGGACTGCCGTCTCTGCTGGGGGCCATATGGTGTCCAGTGTGTTAAAGTACACACAATCTCATAAGTAGATAAGCCAGACTAACTGACGATACACAGAAATGCAAACGGATAAACCCAGTTATCAGCAAGGAGGGATGTGTGAACTTGCTTTGGCAGATGGTCTAGATCCTTGGCAAATGAAAAGGCAATTTGTAGGAATGACTTTTGGGAAATAAAAAATTTATGAGGAGACAGGCAAGGTGTACGTGAGAAACAGGGATGCATCAGTTTTCCCCACAGGAATTCTGTCAGTCCGCGCAAAGGTGCGGGACAGTGAGGCCCCAAGCTGGGGAAAAGCAGTTGTTTTCTGTCTTTAAAGCCCACTGTGCCTGCTTCCTTCTCAGACAATGAAGATGATGGCATCTATTTCTCTTACTTACCTGGCAGTTGGAAGAACAGAAGGAAAATTAAATTAAATGAATGAACAAGATCTGAAGAGTTAAAAATTCTAACCAAATACCATTAAGAGCGTGAGGACGACTGTGGGACCATAGGATCTAATCTATCTTGTCCCCTGCGGACTCCCTGTTTCTTTCAGGTCAGCTTTGCAAAGAGTAGCTAGGTAGGGGCTGCCCTTAAGACGCCAGTGCCAGCCTTTCCACTGTCCAAATTTCTACTGTCTGACCATCAATGACTGAAGTCCTACCATTGGAATGTCATCTCTCTGTTTTCAAACTTGGATCCCTTTTAAAATGCCAATAACTCCACGAGATAGAGTATGGATAAAGAATCAAATTAAAAGTTTTGGTAGGATACATTGAGGAGCACATTTGAGGATCCTGCAGGCCAGTGAGCGTGGCATGGGATGGGCGCCACAGCAGGCGGTGGGTAAGATCAGGGGGAAGGGGCACAGATGAGACCTTAAACACTGAGGGCAAGCTTGGCCCCCGTTACAACTGAGCCTGGTCCCGGCCCAGGGAAATCACTTGAGCTTTTGTCTAAGCCTAAAACCCTAATTTTCCACCCGCAAAAGGACAATCACCTTTTCTAATTGCTAAGCTGGCACACGTGTGCTGGATGCAAGGCTGTTTTGTGGATTGTGATGTGAACGGCATCGAAGTGCTCCCTAATAGGTGTGACTTGCTCTGGGACTCAGTACCGCTCAGTTCGACATCATTATCACGACCTTGGGTGAACATATGGAGTTTCCTGCATATTTTAATATGGATATGGAATTACAGAATGTATAGCTAACATGCACTCAGAATATACGGTGACTAAGGAGTGTAAATCAAAATCCAAAAAAATCTGGAGAGCCTTCAATGATGCACTAAATATACAGGCCAAGAAAAGACATAACAGGAACAAATGTAAAGTTCTGTATCAGCGTCCAGAAGGTCAGCCCCCCAAGTAGAGGAAGAGGAGACGCGGCTTACCAGACCTCGCGGGGTAAGATGTGAAGCCTCAGGGCGATGTGTCTCCACAAAAACTGGCAAAAAGCTAATGAGAAATAAGGCTGACTTAATAGAAGTATATCGTGTAGAAGAGAGGTGAGTCTTGCTCAGCTCCTTTCTGTCAATGTACCTGGATTATTTTGATTTTAGGTGCCATATTTAAAAAAATTTACAGGCATCACTATATTAGTAATAATATAACTTTAAAAATCAGCTGGGCATGGTGGCTCATGCCTGTAATCTCAGCACTTAGGGAAACCAAGGCAGGAGGATCACTCAATCCTGGGAGTTTGAGATTAGCCTAAGCAACAGAGGGAAACCTCATCTCTACAAAAAATAAAGAATTAAAAAAAGTATGTGGGCATGGTGGTGCACTTGTATTCCCAGCTACTTGGGAGGTGAGGTGAGAGGATTGCTTGAGCCCAGGAGGTCAAGGCTACAGTGAGCCATGATCGTGCCACTGTACTCCAGCCTGGGTGACAGAGCAAGACCCTGTCAAAAAAAATAAAATAAAATAAGAAAGTCAACCTAATAAATCAATTGTATATTTTCTGTTACTTTCTAGTTTTCATTCACGTACACGTACTCTTTTTCACAGGGATAGTAACAGTGATGTAAATACATAATTTTGTTATTCTGCTTTTAATTAGGCTTTATAGCTTGAGAAATAGTCTATTGTGCTGCATCCAGTGGTTTTTGGTCATGGCCAAATCATTTGTCACTGGCCATGATCCTGGCGAAATGAATTACATAATTAATAGGGTGATTTACACCATTGTTGACCTTTTTATGTACATTTAAATTAGTTCCCACTTTTTCACTTTTAAAAATGACTGCTGTAAACACATGCATCAAAACTTCTCCTATTTTTTGTAATTATTTCCTTCAGTTACAGTCTCAGTAGTAGGATTACCCTAAGGATACGAATATCTGAATTCAAGAGAAGTTTAAACAATTTATATTGCTATTAACCATTTACCACTTCTACCACATTTTATTTTTGCCAGCATTCTATTTTATTTTTTCAAATTTAATGCATAAACTGTATCCCATTACAGCTTTAATTTGCATCTCAGCAAGAGGTAGTAAGGTTGACAATTTTCTTATGTATATTTATCACTTGTGTGTCCTCTTTGTGAATCACCTATTATGTTCTTGCCCATTTACATTAAAGTTTTGATCTTCTTTCAGTTTTCATGAGCTTTTTGTGCAGTACTGACAGAGGCTTTTTCCTGGTTTATATTATGAAAATATTTTCTTTAGTCTGTTTGCCTTTTTATTTGAGTTCTGATAATATTTATTCCAGAGACTTGCAAATATTTGAAAGCCAAGAAATGCATACTTCCACTACATATATAATATCTACTCTCTTTTTGCTGGTCTTATTGTTTTTATTCTTAATACAATTTAATACTCTTTAATACAGTTGGGCTTATTTTGACATAGGTCTAGACAGTTTCATTTGAAATTTCTTTAACTTTGAGCAAAGTTAAATTTAACATAGGAATCTGGTTCATCATCTATGAAAAAATGAATCTGCCTTTCACTTTCATTCCAGAATCTTCTAAAAGAATACTGGGCATGTCAAATACTTGATTTCTTAGGAAACCTCATTCCTCAACTATGCCATGTCACTTATCAATTCAATGTCTCCCAGTTCCAAATGCATCTTCAATACCTGCTCTGCAATAATGGACAGAATTTCCTTGAGTATTACAGTGAGCGTGATGTTAAACTTTCTCAGCAGAGGATGCTGGAGTGGCAACAGAGCAGGAAGGGGCTCCGCTGCTGTTCCTGGGGAGTTCAAGATTAGCGAATGACACAGGTGGGAGAATGTCTGGTAGTGCTCCGCCTTGGCCACATGCCTGGAACACATGGTCCCTTCCAGCTCCAGCCTGGCCTGCTGGTCATGACCTCCCAGCTCCAGCCTGGCCTGCTGGTCATCTTTCTGCAGCTCTTGCAGCATGGACCCTGCATGCCACAGCCCTCCTGCCTGCACTGCTGCTCCAACTCCCTCTGCTTCCCTATGCCTGCTTCCCCCAGGTTCACCTGCTGTGACCTTCTGGTGCTGCAGCCCTTCTAACACAAACATCACAGTTCCAGGGCTCCTATTCACACGAGAACCCATTTTCTCTGCACACCTGTGTGGCTGGCCACCGGTTGTGGCTTACTCAAATCCATCTGCACTCCAGGTGAGAGCTGCTTCCTACTTGCTCAGCAACTACAGACCAGCTCTGGTCTGTGCTAACCGGCACATTTCTCTGCCAATCATTGGGCTGCAACTGTACTTGCTCCAACAAGGTCTGAATGCTAGCCTTGGAAAGGGGGGACCCCATTTCAATCTCGGCTCACTGCAAGCTCTGCCTCCCGGGTTCACACCATTCTCCTGCCTCAGCCTCCCAAGTAGCTGGGACTACAGATGCCAGCCACCATGCCCAGCTAACTTTTTTGTATTTTTAGTAGAGATGGGGTTTCACTGTGTTAGCCAGGATGGTCTCAATCTCCTGACCTCGTGATCTGCCCCCCTCAGCCTCCCAAAGTGCTGGGATTACAGGCTATTTTAAGAAGGAAATTGTAATTATAAAATTTTACAGAAATACAAAAGATCTACATTAGACAAAAGAAGACTGAAAAGGAACAAAACTGGAGGATTTACACTACCTGATCTCAAAACTAATGATAAAGCTATAGTAATCAAAACAGTGTGGTATTGGGATAAGGAACAGGTTAGTGTAACAAAACAGAAATTTCAGAAAAAGACCCAGGTACATATGGCCAAATTATTTTTGATAAAGATACGAAGTCAATTGGGAAAGGAAGTTCATCTTAAGAAGTGGTGCTGGAACAACTGGATGTGGTAAACAAAGATGAATCTCAATCTCTGTCTCACTCCACAGAACAAATTAATTGAAAATGGATGATTGATAGACCTAAGTACAAAAGTGAGAACTTAACACTCTAGACACAAAAATCCAGAATATTTTCATGAGTTTAGAGAAGGCAGAATTCTTTTAGATAGGACACAAAACACACTAACCATAAAAAAACTCCCAATGAATTACACTTAATCAAAATAAAAATTTCTTCTAATCAAAAGATACCATGAAGAAAATGAACAGAATAGTCTACAAAATAAATGCTATCTACTCTTCAAAAGTGTCAAAGTTGTGAAAGACAGTGAGTAATTGATGGATAGATGAATAGATGGATGAATGGATGGTTGGATAAATGGACGGATAGATAGACTGATTGATTGTCTGACTGACAAACTGTTCCAGAGTAAAAGGGACTAAAGATAAATAAAAACTAAATGTAATGTGTGATCTTGGTTTGGATTTTTGGTCTTAGTAATTTTTTTTCTTTTTTCTATACAGGACATTCTGGGATAACTGGTGAATTTTGAACAACGTCTGCAGATTAGATAATAATATAATAATATATCCATATTAATGTACTGATTTTGATCACTGTACTATGGCTCAGTAAGAGAATGTCCTTGTTTTTAGAAAATATTCTTTGAAGTATTAGAGATAAAGGAACATTATCTCTGTCACTTAGTCTCAAATGGTTCAGAAAAAATTGATGTGTGGGCCAGGCGCAGTGGCTCATGCTTGTAATCCCAGCACTTTGGGTGGCTGAGGCAGGCAGATCACAAGGTCAGGAGTTCGAGACCAGCCTGGCCAACATAGTGAAACCCCGTCTCTACTAAAAATACAAAAAAATTAACCGGTCGTGGTGGCAGGCACCTCTAGTCCCAGCTACTTAGGAGGCTGAGGCAGGAGAATTGCTTGAACCCAGGAGGCAGAGGTTGCAGCGAGCCGAGATCGCTCCACTGCACTCTAGCCTAGGCGACAGAGTGAGATTCCATCTAAAAAAAAAAAAAAAAAAATTGGAGTGTGTGTGTGCATGTGTGTGTCTACGAAAGACAGAAACAATGAGACTGACAAAGCCAATATAGCAAAACATTAGCATTTATGGGTTCTGGCTGAAAGGTATTTGGAAATTCTTTGGATTATTTTTTGCAAGTCTTATTTTACTTTCTATTTCTGGAAGTCTTAAATTACTTCAAAATAAATGTTAATAAAGAATAATGTACAGATAATCCCCAGACACAGACAAAATATTCACAGTACATATATTTGACAAGGGACTTATCTTCAAAGTATATAACATTTTTATGTAAATCAGTAATAAAAAGAAAACCCAATTAACACATTGGGAAAATATTTGAACAAACATTTCACTAAAGAAGATATATAGATGGCAAACATACACATGAAAAGTGCTCAATGGTATTATAGTACTCGAAATGCTAATTACTAATTAGAAGTGCAAACTGAAGCCACAATGAGGTACTACTGCCCATCCACAAAAGCGACTGGCAGCACTTGACCTCAGGAGGATAGACAGCAACACATCCACTGCCGGTGGGAATGGAAAACGGTTCAAACAGTTTGGAAAACGATTTGGAACTTTGTTACAAAGCTAAATGTGCACTCGAGAGAAATGAAAATATATGTCGTCAAAATGACTGTGTGCAAATGTTCACAGCAGCTACATTTATAAGAGCCCCAAACTAGAAATAGCTCAGATGCCTGTGGATAGCTGAATGGACAGGCAGATTGTGATTTATTCAAACGTGGAAGTACTCAGCAATGAGAAGGAAGGACTAATCACACATACAACAATAGGGATGATTCTCAAAATCGTTAAGTCAAGACTGAGAAGCCAGACACAAAAGTGTGCACACAGTGTGATTCCATGGAGCAGGAAGGAACTTTCTGCAGTTAAGGCAATATTTTACATCTGGTATGGGGTGGTGGTGTCACGGGTGTATATGAATGTCAAAGTTCTTTGCACTAGGGATTTAACATGTATGCATTTAATTGGATTTAAATTATATATATCTCATTATAAATTGTACTAATATTTTTAAAAAATCAGTGACCCCTAAAAAGGGGAGTGGGATGAGATGAATTAGGGTGTTGGGATGTTTTTGGTGCCTACAGGTGAAGAAGGGTGGGAATCCATCCCCAGCATTGGGTCTCAACCTGTCCCTCTTCCACAACCCCAATCGTGAGAGTGTTACCATGCTACAACGGTCATGACCTCCTCCTATTTAAAATGCTTTACCAAAGACCTTGTTATGACAATGCCAACCTTCAAATAACTCAGGACTGAAACCTTAGAGGAGTCATCTTGGACTCCTCTGTTTCTTTCTTTCTTTTATTTTTCTTTTCTT